TTCTCCTCCCCTCAGTTCCTGCTCTCTCCGTCACGCTCTGTGTGTGCTTTTGCGCGTCACATGACTCTATTTCCTCTATTTTCTGAGTGCTGCCTACTCCAATCAGAGATTGTATCAGATGATGATGATTAAAAACTTATAAACCTAAAATTTAGATCAGTAAAATGCAGGATTTGTCGGGTTGTCGGTTTACGTCAATGTGATATCTACTTGAAAACTGCATTGTTTTCACATTTTAAACATAGGATTGCTGTATGATGTGAGGAAACTAAGAAACAAACTCATCGTCAATATATAGCCCAGAATAGAGAAACCTTTTTTTCCCTTTATGACCTTAAAAAGAAACTTTGTGCAACTTACAGCAAAATTACTTTTTTTAAGCATTAAAATGTTTCTCCTGGTAAATTATAAAAGAGGAAAGTAATAACAAACGAGGTAAATGGGAAATAAAAGTCAATTAAGAAGAAGAGAGTAGGTTGGTTTCAAAATGCCCACATTTCAAATTTGGAAATTTACTCAGTGATTCTGCTGAATATAGGAAAGCTGTTACCTGGATGGTATTCACTTTGCAAGAAAACAAAAAACGATTACATTTTCTCTGTTGACCCAGAATCTGACCAAAAAAGAAATCATTTAAAACGATTAGAACAGGGAAGATGAACAAATAAAATGTTTTTTTTTAATTTCCTGTAATTTGGATAAACTAATCCTTTAAAATCGATTTTTCCAAAGTAGTTTGCGGTGAAAGGTTTTGCTTTGCTTTTTAACCCGGCAGTCTTGAGATTTCTGTTTCCTGTAGTTGCCTCCATAGAGCTTTTTCTTTTCCCGCCTGGTCTCCATTTCCGCCTGTCGATCTCCCAGCCTTACCTCTCTGGGGGAGGGGAGGGTTGTAGGGGATGGTTGCAGAGCTGAAGAAGACATCATTTCAACTCCGCACCCTTGATCTGATGCCCAATGCTTCCATGTTTCCAGGTGTCACATACGCTGCAAAGGGCTACTTCGACGCTCTGGTGCGGATGGGCGAGATGGCCAGCGAAAGTCAAGGCTCTAAGGATGTTGGTGAGTCCTTGTAGTGGCAGTAGCACCCTTGATGGGGTACAGGGGGGTTACACAAGCAGATGGTGGATGGGATCGTGCTGTAGGGCAGAAGCAGCTGATGACCAACCTGAAATTGGACACACACACCCAAACACACACTCACAGATGTTTTTGCAGCACTTAAGTGCTTCAGAACGTTGTGTAAATCTTAAAGATGAGCCTTAGCCTGTCTTCTCCTGCACTTCAGAGCTTATTTGATACATTATCACCTCCAATTCATACAGTGAAACACATTCTGGTTCAAGAAGAATTAATTCTGCATGATTGTCACAGTTTGCCCATTTGGTTAATCCCTTGTTTCCTCACATTCCGGAAAGATAACGGCTTTCCAGTCGCTTTTTTATTGCACTGCTGTGAGCGAGTAATAAATTTACAAATTTGTTTGGCATTTGGTATTCACAAGAGCGCACACGGCGAGGTGGATTTGCTTTCTATTCATAATAAGCCCTCAATATATTTACAGTGCTAATGAAAAATCGTCCTGTTTTGAATGGCGCTTCCAGCAAGTTGTCAGGATAAAAAATTCCCAGCTCCCTTTGCTCTCACGCAGCGTGTCGTCTGGTTTCGGTTGGATCAGCTCTGGTTCTGTTTGCTATAGTGATAACTGGTGTTGATGAGAACTAGCTGATAGCTGTTGTATGAAGCAGGACAGCACTGTTATAACTGTAGACCAGGTCACATGCCGGGGCGTGTGCAGAGTCTTTGTTAGTCCGGGATTGTGGAAGCTTCTTCTTTCCTTCACCTTGATGGGATGTAAGATAGCAGGCGTGTCCTGAATCAGCAGAGGAGAGGAGGAAGAAAGGATGGAGAGATGGTTAGAGGAGTGTGAAACAGACATATCTGAGGCGACTGAGGAGGATATAAAAGCTGCATCCATTATTCATGTGAGGACCTTTTTTGGGGGCTTCCTCGCATTTCTTCTGGAGCTTTTCGCTTTTCCTCGGGGTACCGGGTAGAGCTCCAATATGAAAAGCTCTTTTCTTTATCTATTCGGTTTCGCCTCCATGTTTTTTTATGTAGTTTGAATCATTTCCATATCACACTGTTTTAGGGTTGAATGTTTAAACATCCAAGCCGGTGACTAACTTTAAATCTAAATCATTAAAGCCACTTAAAAGTAGGAGGAAAGGCCTTTGCACACCAAGACTGTTTTCATCATGAGTAAATATTTCTCCCAAAATCTCCGTCACAGTGTTTTGCAACTGTTCGTAGGATTCACTTATTGTGTATATATGCAAATATGCACTACACATGAACGCTTTTCATACATTAGAGATGATTTTTTTAAAAAAATGCAAATTTTTGACTTTGTGTGCAAACTCCTTAACAGGACATCCCATCATCCATCTCTGCATCCTCATTTCCATCAGCTTGGTTGCTCTTCTGTTTGCCTTTCATGCTCTCTGTCCTCTGTAGTCTTTTTGTCTGCATGTTTGTGTTTCTTTTTCTAGCAGCCCAACCATGACTCAGCAGCTCTTTAACGACTCAGCAGAACTTCCCTCCGCCTCCAGTGAAATGACAGACTAGGCCGAGCAAAATGGATTGATGCCGTCTCTGCATATCAGCAGCGCTCAGAGCGGCTGTGGTCTGTGCAGAGCGGCGGGGGAGCCCTTCTGACGGCGGTTATTGCTTTTGTGGATTCTTTAGCATATTCCATTACTGGTGTTAAGCCTCACAGCTTCACTGTGATGAAAACAGAAGAAAAATGTAGTTTGTGGATGATTCTGCAGTCACTCAGTATGAAGTGTGCAACTTATATCAAAGTTCTCCCGGTTAATCCATAGATGACAGTGTCTCAATGGGATTTTCTTTTAGTAGTAGACAAATATGAACGTTTTCTGGAGATGCTGAATTATTAAAAATACATGAGCAGGCGATGAGAGATAATTATCCAATTTTTCTCGTTAGACCAATTCAATGATACGTTATAAAGTAAACAGCCTCCTTTTGCCAGTTTTGCCGGTTTTGCTCCAGAAGAAGCCGGAGGAAACACTGAGCACCATTGTTGCTGCGTAATGTGGAAAAACTCCCAAGCCTGCCAGCTTATTAATTAACAGATAACAAGGGTTGTGCGTTTGGTTTTGTGTGTGTGACTGAACTAAATTTCCTCAGCTGGCACATGTCTGTAGCTGTGACCGGAGCCACGAGCACCGAATCCCAGATAAGCACAACTGTGTGTGAGTTTGTGTGCGTGTTTGCCGGGGATAATCACTCACCCACCTACCACACACTTCATAATTAATGAGGAATGAAGGCAGATTTGTAAAATCGTCCAACTTGTAATTGTTCCTTTAATTGGGTTTTGTTGAGGAGAAAACGTGTTGGCGCCGTGGAGCTGAAGTAACGGGGCCGGACTACAGACTGCTTCAACTCTCAAAGTGAAATCTGGCAGAAAGGCTGCGCCACCTCCGACTGTACTCTCTGAAACAATGCAATTAATCACAGCGCATTAAGATGAACAGCAGCTAATGGCATTAGCACATGAGCAGAGGATGGAGAGTTGCATGTGACAGCGTGAAATGAGGAGGGAGTGAAGTCGGGTTGAGGAATTGACCTTGATGGTCAAAGAGAAAAATTTAATGTGGGATGGAAAAAGCACTGGACTGTTGATGAATTGGCTCGCACATTAGCAGCTCTGATCTTATTCAGGCTAAATGGGTCACTGCCGTTCCTCTTAAATAAAAGATGCCGCGAAAGTTGATCATATTAGACATTATTGATCAGCTTTAAGTTACAATAAGTGTCGTGTTTGTGAAGATCTGATGTTTTAATGAAATCTTTGAGGCTGACGTTTGCAGTTTGTGAGTCTGTGATAGTTTTTCTTGCCCTGTAATTGTAAATGGTGAAATCCACTTTGTCAGATGGCGTTTGTGCCTAATCATTAAGCACAAGGCATTTTATAGCAGTGGCACCTGGTCAATACTGGTTGCCTGTCCTAAGTTGGTCTGCAGAGTCCACTTGAGGAGGCTGAAAGGGTGGAAGTAAGTCAACCATAAAAACCACTTGGTTAGATTAAGGCATTGAAAGTTACTTATTTGGTGAAATTTAGTGGTTTGATTTAAAAGGCACTCTGCACCTTACCTCAAGTGGCAGAAACCTTTGACCAGTACCATAAGTTGCCGTAGGACCGTGTGGGCAGCCTGGCTTCAGTGTGGCGAAGGAACTAGTTCCTAACTGAAACTTCTGTCTGTGTATATTCCCAGTTATCCATTTCATGGTAACCTTTAGATCCTGAAAAGATGTTTTACCTCTTCAGAGCTGAAGAAGCCTCTTAGATGAGAGGCGGAGCAGCTTAAAAACCTGAAGAAGTCCAGCTGTGTTTTTTTT